CCAGAAATAGTTCCCACAGACCACAGCTTTTCAGTGACATGCTATAGGCAAAACTAGCAACCTCCTTCAAGTTTACTAAACCCTTCACAGTATCCCCCACCCCTAAGTAACCAACGTTTTAACTAGTTACTCACTGGCCTCTTTGCGTCCTCCTTCCTGTCCATTTTTTTGTTTACATTTTATTTTTCATGTCCCAGTCATGCCCTTTTCTGGTTATGCATAAAAACAGCTGGTCAGAGCTAATCTCACCATTTGAAATTGAGTTGAGTCTCTTTCTGCATCCTTCCTAATCTCCCAGTGCCTGGGTGTCTGTGCTTTACAACATTGGCGGCTCTCTCTCTTGTTAGGCCATTCCTAAGGTGGGAGGTGCTTTATCAGCCGCAGACGGTTCTTTTTTTATTTTTAGTGGTGAGCGCCCAGGAGTGCATCCATGTCAGGTTTAATAGTGGGTAGAGAGAGGGTTGATCAGGTCTCAAGCAGACACCCCATGATCCAAGGTATGCACTGGGATGGCAAGCCTGTGTACTGTTATTTTTTAGCAAGCTAGCTCAATCACAGCTAGCTCCAGCATGCCTTCATGTGCTGTTCCAATTGCAGTATAGACATACCCCTTAATCTTTTTATAGACGGAACCATTAATCTGTGGAACTCATTGCTACAAGATATTGTGGAGGCCAGGTGCTTAGCGGAATCCAGAAAAGGATCACATATTGATATGAACAATAGGAATATCTAGATTTGATACTAGCCATGATTAAAGAAAGAACAAAAAAGTGAGAACTGCCATCCCTTCTAGCTTCAAGGCACACACCAGCCTCTAACTAATGGGGATCAGGAAACAACTTATTCAGTGGACAGATCATGCCATGCTTTTCCAATTCATGTTTCTATGAAACATCTGGCACTGGCTACAGTTAGAGGCAGAATAGCAGATGAGACAGACCCCTAATCTACCTGTTTCTCTGCTCCTGGTCTGAAAATATGTATTTTAAATACAAACATAATTTTGCCAGGAGTTACTTTTGTTCTTCTCGTTGCAGGAACGGGGGAAGTGTGGGGAGGGACAGAAGATTTGTGAGGAAATACAAAGTAGAACTTTCAACTTACATATATAAATTCCTGGCCGTTGTTATTTCACTTATTGTAGGGTCTGTTTTAAAGGGATGGTGGCACTGTATGAGAGGAAGGATACAATCAGGAAGAGTCAGGATACCTAGGGATGGTGGCACTGTATGAGAGGAAGGATACAGTCAGGAAGAGTCAGGATACCTGGATCTGTACACGGCTGTCCCTCAAATGGATAAAAAAAACTTACAAGTAGTCCTGTAGCTCCTTTGAGACTAACAAAAATATATATATAGTGTAAGGTGCTACAGGACTGCTTGTTTTTTAAAGTTTTTTAAAGTTAACACAGCTTCCCCTTTGAGAACTCAAATGGATAAGTCACTCCCCATCTGTGCAATGGAGATAATGTTGATCTACCTTGTGTGTTGTGTGTCTCTAGTAACATTTAGGACGCTATGATGCTGGCAGAAGAGTGGCCAGTTCATGCTTAGGCCCCTAGGTCTCACCGAACACTGACAAATAGCTGGAGCCATATGGCTGTTCCGTGTGTTCGTACCATTACACAGCTAGCAGAGTTATAAAAACAGGCTCAGAGTTTAGACTTTCTGGAATGCTTGTACATTTCTGGGTACATTCATTTAGCTTATAATACCTGTGGGCTAAGTCACAAAGTAATATTACAGAGTTTGCTTTGTAACTGCAAATCACCAGAGGAGAGAAGCATTGCAAAGTGTGAAATACTTGTTTCCAACAGGAAGTGTTATCACCTGCCCAACAAAAGAAGACTCAGTAACACAAGAGAAACTGTTGCGGAACAGGAAACAAGATTTTGTGCATTGGTCCCCTCACCTCCTCCACACAAAGAGATGTGCAATCACATTCCTCCCACTAGTTGAATTCATAGCCCAAAACAGATTTGGGAAAGAATTAAAAAGACCAAACAAGGACAAACTCTATCTATCATGCTGCTTAGACTCTTAGGCTGTGTCTAGACTGGCAAGTTTTTCCACAAAAGCAACTGCTTTTGCGGAAAAACTTGCCAGCTGTCTACACTGGCCGCTTGAATTTCCGCAAGAACACTGACGATCTCATGTAAGAAATCAGTGCTTCTTGTGGAAATACTATGCTGCTCCCGTTCGAGCAAAAGTCCTTTTGTGCAAAAGCTTTTGTGCAAAAGGGCCAGTGTAGACAGCTCAGATTTGTTTTGCGCAAAAAAGCTCTGATCACGAAAATGGCCATCGGGGCTTTTTAGCGCAAAAGTGCATCTAGATTGGCACGGACGCTTTTCCGCAAAAAGTGCTTTTGCAGAAAAGCATCCGTGCCAGTCTAGACGCTCTTTTCCGCAAATGCTTTTAACGGAAAACTTTTCCGTTAAAAGCATTTGCAGAAAATCATGCCAGTCTAGACGTAGCCTTGGAGTGAGGATTACCTGGGTTAGCCTTCAAGGACATATAGGGATTGCTTATTCCATCAGCTTCTGTTACTTCTTGAAATTTAAGATTGGAACTCATTTGTGTGTCTGTGATTAGCTGCTTTAATATTGTAAGTAACTGTTCCTACCTTTTCTGATGTTATAAATCTCTAGATAGCTTATTATAGGATTGGTTACAGCATTGCCTTTGGTGTGAGATCTAAGGTGCAACTGACCAGGAGTAAGTGACTGGGCTTTTGGAGCTGAGAGTAATCTGAATATTGCTGTGATCTTTGGTGTAAGGAACCATGTATCCACAGGCAGTGGGTGAACCCTGGATTGGAAAGACTATCCCCCAGCCCCACCCCTTCTGCCTGAAATCCCACCTCTTCCACACCCTATAGCACCCAGACCCCCTTTCCCAGCGCAGCCACCAGTCCCATGCCCTGTCCCAGGATAGCCCCTCCACAGTTGCTGAGGAGAATGAGGAAAGCAGATGGCGCATGGCCCTTGGCCCCTGCCTGCCCAGCCCTGGAGCACAGGGCAGGTGGGTGACAGGGCGATCTATCCCTACTGATTCACAAACTACACAGGACACCACAAAATTTGGAGCACCAAATTTTGTGGTGCTCTAGGCAGCTGCATGCTTCGTATGGGGCAGCATCTGCCCTGGTGGTCAGCCCCATCCCTAGGCTGAGCCCCTGTGGGCTGTGCCCAGCAGTACCATCCATAAGGGGGCTGCAGGGCCCGTGACAAAACCCTGTTGTACATGTTTTGCCTCTTCCAGTTCTGCCCCCAGTTAGGGATGCTAAAATAGTTCTCATCTTACTATACTTATAAAAAAGTTTTTCCTGTGGGATGACAGAGTGATGTCATCAGGTCACTCTGCATCCCACAGGAACATGCCCCACCCACCTCCAGCCTGGCCCTTCCCAGGGCCCACATAAAGGGCTGAGGTTGCCAAGCTGCTGCTTGTGGCGCATTTGCTGCCAAAGGCAGATTTTTGGCAGTGGTAACCCTCCCCTTCCCTGTGGCTGGAGGGAAAGCTGGGCCTGGGGCCAGTGTAACTCAGGCCCAGTCCCTCCCTCCCTGTGGGAAAACTGGGCAGGCATGACTCAGGTCCGGCCCCTCCAAGTGCATGGGGGAAAAACTGGGCCTGTGAGCCAGGCCTCACATGCACCATGGCCTGGCCACTGGCATTATGGTTAGGCCACAGTGGGGGGTGAGGAGGAAGAAGGGGGCTGGCTGGCGGAGGGGGGGGTAGAGAGGAGGCTGCAGCCACAGCCTGGCCCGAGACAGGGGGTTGGCAAGCACAGCGAGCAAGGGGCACATCCCCCTAATTCATTTAACCATTTTAACTCTGGGCTCATTGCCCAGTCCCACTGTAGCCACAGGGTACTGCAGCCACGGCTGCCCGCCCCTAGCGAGGCTGTGTGTCACAGGAGGTCACTGGCAGGGGCTGGTTAATCATTAAGCATAATGGTAAGCCTCATGTTTACCTTGGTTAACTGTTTTCACATCCTTCTCCCAATCCACCCCAACCCCCGCTTCATCCTATCTCTTCCCAACTCTGCTTTCCCCCATCTTACCCCCTCCTCTGAGTGACACAGCCTGGGGGATTAGTGGGGGCTGGCACCGTCAGTATGTGTCCAGCCCATCCCAGCATTCTGGCTCCCAGAACTCTCCACCCCCGAGTTTAAGAACCCAGGCACCCTGGCTCTCAGAACTCCCCATGGGAAAAGAACCCAGACATCCTGGCTCCTAGAACCCTTCCCTCAGCTGGGAATAGAACCCAGGCATCCTGGCTCCTAGAACCCTTCCCCCAGCTGGGAATGGAACCCAGGCATCCTGGCTCCTAGAACCCTTCCCCCAGCTGGGAATGGAACCCAGGCATCCTGGCTCCTAGAACCCTTCCCCCAGCTGGGAATGGAACCCAGGCATCCTGGCTCCTAGAACCCTTCCCCCAGCTGGGAATGGAACCCAGGCATCCTGGCTCCTAGAACCCTTCCCCCAGCTGGGAATGGAACCCAGGCATCCTGGCTCCTAGAACCCTTCCCCCAGCTGGGAATGGAACCCAGGCATCCTGGCTCCTAGAACCCTTCCCCCAGCTGGGAATGGAACCCAGGCATCCTGGCTCCTAGAACCCTTCCCCCAGCTGGGAATGGAACCCAGGCATCCTGGCTCCTAGAACCCTTCCCCCAGCTGGGAATGGAACCCAGGCATCCTGGCTCCTAGAACCCTTCCCCCAGCTGGGAATGGAACCCAGGCATCCTGGCTCCTAGAACCCTTCCCACGAGCGCGCAGGGCACAGCTGGGGCGATGGGGGAGAAGCCCCGCCCCCTGCGGGAGCGGAAGTAGGTCAGGAAGGCGTACCCTCTATCTATGAGGTCATTTCCGGACTCTGGAACGCTTCAAGATGGCGGCCGCCTTGTTGAGGTGACGTCTAGGAGCGCGGGGAGAACCCAGGCATCCTGGCTCCTAGAACCCTTCCCACGAGCGCGCAGGGCACAGCTGGGGCGATGGGGGAGAAGCCCCGCCCCCTGCGGGAGCGGAAGTAGGTCAGGAAGGCGTACCCTCTATCTATGAGGTCATTTCCGGACTCTGGAACGCTTCAAGATGGCGGCCGCCTTGTTGAGGTGACGTCTAGGAGCGCGGGGAGGGGCGGTGGAGACTTGGTGCGCTCGGGTAGCGGGGCGGGGATGGGGGAGACCCGGGGGCGGGCGGCGGG